TGTTCTTGTCAATCAAGACAGTGCCCTAAGATCAAGCCTAACTCACAGTCTGCCCATAGCACTGTTCAGGAAATTGACCCCAAGATCATGTTGGGAATGTCAATTAGGTAAAATTCCCAGTATCCTTTAGCCAGAGTTGGCTGACTAATTATCCTCCTGGCTGAGGTCTCTCCGGAGCATGACCAGAGCTGCCCCAAAGGCTGCATCCACATCCTGCCCAAAGGACACAGGCAAAGGGAATGCCTTCTGTACCTCCTGCTTCAGCACCTCATTCCTGGACAGTGCACTCCCACTCCCCATCATTCGTTCCACACCCCACTCTGTGAGCTGTTGGAAAGGAAGCATGGAGTGCAGGTTCTGAACTATGCCTCTGCATAGGGCCCGGGTCACATGCCCCAGGGAGAGGTCAGAGTTAGAGATTCTAGTCACAGAGGCCAGCTGGTCCGGAAGGTGCCTCTCCCCCAGCACTGTTGGAGTGATGGTGAGATGGGTATCCTTCTGTTGCGCAGCTGCCTGGATCATTCGTGAATACACAGTAGATTCTTCAATCTCCAGGCCTGCCAGAAAAAGGGAGTATCTATATGAGATCATGCAGCACCTGTAGGTGGGCAGAGACTATTTAGAATCCCCAAGGAGCAAGGACCAGTCTGTCTGCTGCTTCTCCTTGCACTGTGGCTGGAAGCTTCTGGGCTCAGAGATTCAAATAGTCTGGCTGCCTAGTCTCTGCCCCAGATCCCAGCCACAGCCAGACCTCAGAAAGACAGCTCATCAATACTGCATGTCTTAACCCTAGACTTTGCATCTTAACCATAGTACAGCTATGGGCTCCTAATGGGGCCAAATGGAAGCACTCATTAAAAGACATCATCAGAGCCACAGTTTGAGGCATTAGCTGTGTCACAGCAATCTGTGGATCCCAGTCTAGGTCATCCTTGTTACAGGACCACAGTCTAGGCCATTCTCATAGTGTGCATGGGATACCTGAGGCCCATGGAGAAGTGATGTGCTGTCTTCACTAATAACAAGCCAGAGTCCCAGACTATTGTACTCCCCCATGCTAGGTTAGCATTCTAAAATTTTTTTAAAAAATGCATTTAGCTGGGTGTGGTGCAATTCCAGCACGCAGAAAGCTGAGGCAGAAGGATCATGAGTTAGTGGCCAGCCTGGACTACATAGTAAGACCCCCATCTCAAATTTAAAAATATAAATACTAAGGAAGACTTTTTCTTCACTACACTTTTAACTTAATATCACTCTGGGGCCTGGGGTATGGCTTGGTGGTAGACCATGTACCTAGCATGTTTAGGGCCCTGGGTTCAAAATCCAGCACCACAAAAAGAAAATGAATCCTTCTAACTTGTCATTAGCTAAAGAACAGAAAACCAAGCTTTGATAAGAAAAAAGCTACCTAGAGGGAGGACTTTTTAGTACGTGTGGCTCCTACAACCTCCTGAGTTGCTTTAAAGGCACTGTGGGGCCACTGTGGGCCCCATTCTCAGACACTATGATAGAAGTGGTTGAGGCTACGGAGTCTGAGATACAGCCAGGTTGGAGAGTCACCAGCCTAAGCCTGTAGGTTCTTCTCAAACATGAATGTGCAAATGAAACCCATAGGGATCTCGTCAGAATGCAGCTTCTGACTTGCGGTGCCTGGGGCTGACCTTGAGATTCTGCATTTGTTGAAAGCTCTCAGGGTCAGGGTGCTTCTGGCCCCAACTAGAGCAGTTTAGACACAAAGGCATCAGAATCACTTATGGGGCATTTATAAAATCCCAATCTCAGCCCCACCCATTCCCAGGCCAAGTCAGCATTTCTGAATTTCTGACCATGGGGAGGTCAATATGGGGGTTGTGTGTGCGTGTGCATGTGTGTGTGTGTGTGTGTGTGTGTGTGTGTGTGAGTGTGTGTGTGTGTGTGTGTGTGTGTGTGTGTGTGTGTGTGTGTAAAGGCCAAAGGTCAACATCAGGTGTCTTCTTTGATCATTCTCCATCCTTTTCTAAGACTCTTATTGAAACCGGAGCTCATCAATTTTAGGCTAACTGGCCAACGAGCTCCAGGAAACCCCTTGTCCACTCCCCACTCTCCAGAGCCCAGCTTTTATGTGGATGCTTGAGATCTGAACTTGGGTCCTCATGCTTATATGGCAGGCACTTTACCAACTAAGTCATCTTCTAAGCCCTTAATATTGTTTAAAACTCCACAATTAAAGTTCCAGATGTGATTCAGAGGTAGAACACTTGCTAGCATTTATGAGAATCAGTAACCTAAAGAGCCAGAGTGGACTCACATCATCAGAACATTCAGCGTACAAATCCAACTATATACACTCAGGAATGAGAGAATAAAGTTAATTTCAGCCGGGCATAGTGGTGCACACCTTTAATCACAGCACTCGGGAGGCAAAGGCAGGTAGATCTCTGTGAGTTCAAGACCAGCCTGGTCTACATAATGAGTTCCAGGCAAGCTAGGGCTACAGGAAAACCCTGTCTCAAAAAGACAAAAAAAAATTTCAATATTGTGGGGTTGGGGATTTAGCTCAGTGGTAGAGCGCTTGCCTAGCAAGCACAAGGCCCTGGGTTCAGTCCTCAGCTCAAAAAAAAAAAAAAAAAAAAAGACAATAATTTCAATATTGTATGCAACTAGTTAAAATTTGATCCCTCTAAAAATTTCACTAAAATATCAAAAGTTCGTTTGTGTTTGTTTTGAAGTACTAAGGCTCAAACGCAGGCCCTGGCATATACTAAGCTCTACCACTGAGTATGTCCCCAGCCCCAAGTTTCTTTTTAGAATGAGAAAATCAAGAATAGGAAACAATACAGATAAGAGATTTTGATTGTGTTTACAGGACACGCAGTAAAGAGTGAAAATGACATTTTGCATGGAGCCTGGAACCTGCTGCCTCTAAGCCTATGGAGGAAGGTGCTGAAGAGCAAAAGCCAGATCCTCCCTCTTCCATAGGTGCTGGAGCTGAGATATAAGATGCTTCTGAAGGCAGAGGTATACTGGAGCTAAGACAAAAAATCACGAACCCGTCTGCACTCAATTGGCCAGTGAAGCCCAGAAGGCCCTGTTTGGAGGCCTTCCTGCCAGAAAACTCTTCTCAGCCCACATTTGCAGAAGATACAAAAATCTGCCCCTAGCCCTGGCTCCAGATACTCTGCTGGCCTCATCTCCTCTTTCCCTAAAAGGGTACAGAGTTCCTGCAAATGGTTCTGGGGACACAGAATCAAGTGCTTCACAGTCCTCAATTTTATGTTTGGGGACTGTGACTGCACCAGCCAACTCCCCCAAAAATGATCAGAAAGCAACATGCTTTTGCTGCTACCCCTGTTCCCACAAGAATCTAGTCCCCATACAAAAAAAAAAAAAAAAAAAAAAAAAAAACTGAACTATCTATAAGGCATAAACTGTAAGGGTTTAAGTTAACTACTTATTAAGACCAGGGCTGCAGTGGAAATATTAGGACTGTTCCTCTCCATTAAAAAAATTTTTTTTAATTAAAAAAAAAAAAAAACTTCATGTATTGTTTGTTTTTTTCCAAATCATGTTCTTGGGTAAGAGATAGAGCATTTTTCTATCATATGTAGGGTTCAATCCTCAGTACTACAAAACTTGGTTTAAAAATCATGGTTTGGGGACTGGAAAGATGGCTCAGCAGTTAAAAGTACTGGTTGCTCTTGCAGAGGATCTGGGTTCAGTTCCCAGCACCCACATGGCAGCTCACAACCATCTGTAACTCCAGTTCCCAGGGATCTGATGCTCTCTTCTGACTTCCATGGACATTGCAGGCACAGGTGCACTTACATACATGCAGGCAAAAACACTCATAGACATAAAATAAAAATAAATAATTTTTAAATAATGTTCTTGGAGAACACAAGTTTATAAATGTATAAGACTTCGCTCTTGAGGGAACTGCTCAGTCAAAAGACATGCACATGCATGATGGTAGACATTTCATAAAAGGTTAAATTGAAGCACCATCAAACAGGAAGCATGAATATGAAAAGGTCTCATAGAGAAATAAATGAAATATTATTATCTCTTTCACAGTTAAGAAAAGCAGTGCCCCACTGGCAGCTCTGTTGATAGGCCTAATCCAGTTATATCCAGTCCCTGGATACAGGGTTTGCCTGGAGGTTCTGAGGAATGCTTCTGTACCTTGAAACCTTCTCCTGGTTTTTCAATGAAGCAACTCTGAGGACCCCAGCCAAAGAGGCAGAGTTTACCCTGTTATCTGCCAACCCTGGCCTGCCCACTTGTATAACGGACAACAGGTGCTTCCCTTATGCTCTCTGCTCCCTGAGCCTGACCTTGTTCCGTTTCAGAGTTCCTAAAATGACCTGATTTAGAGCTGCTTCAAGTGACCACTGCACCCGATGGTTACAATCTCCCTGAACCTGTATAGCCAACCAGAAATGTCATTTCTTCCTTAAGCGCTTATAGAACAGACCTCTGGCAGAAGGCGACTATGTGTGCCACTGTACATACAGAGCAGAAGAAAACCTGGCAAATTCTCCCCTGGGAACAAAAGGGAAGAAGGGCTTCATAATTCCCAAGGAGCCTTCCAAGAAAATGAAACAGGACCTAACTAAGCAGAAAGGAGTAAGCGCTATAAGGATCTTATAATATTGTCAGGGGTCTCTATTGCTCATGCATGTCCAATCATTCTACATCAGATATCTGTAGTCATCAGAAGGAAAGTTTTAAGTGTAAGAAGCCAAGGGACTTAGACATTCTGGCAGAAAAAGTGAGACTTGGGGCTGGGGTACACTAGGGAAGCTATTGTAGCACTCTACAGTCAAGGTCAGGGGAAAGGTTCCTGGCTACCAGCTACAAAGAACAGATATGCAATGACATGTCAGAGACAGGGGAACAGGCTGAAAACTTAGACTCCCGGGGGGTGGGGGGAATATGCAGGGACCCAGCTGTGTCTGAGACTGCATCTAGACAGCAACAAGGCAATGAGACAGAACACACCACTATGGGCCACACCTTACCTAGATCTGCCATCCACTGAATCAGCATGTGGACGAATGTGGCCAGCACATTGCCCCCATTGAGTGATGCTGCCACCCCTAGGTAGGTCCTGTTGAAGTAAGGGAAGAAGGCAACTGGGGCTGCAGGATTCGGAGTCTGTGCCGGCTGGAATCCCAAAGGCATGGAGGCCGCCAGCTGGACCGAGGTGCTGATGTTGAGAACTGTGCAAAGACAGCAAAGACAACAGAGCTTAGGCCTGCTGGGCTAACTCAGGGACCACATACCATAACAGAGCAGGGCAGAGTGTGATGGTTTTCAGAATGTGCCCATAAATTCTTTGATATGCCTCCTTTAGGAGGTATAGCCTAGGGCTGGAGAGATGACTCAGCAGTTAAAAGTACTTGCTGCTCCTACAGAGGACCTGGGTTCAGCTCCCATCACACACATGGTGGTGAACAGCTATCCATAACTCCAATTCCAAAGGATCCAACACCTGGCCTCTGTGTGTTTGCACATACATGGTGCACTTACATACATAACAGCAACACTCATATACATAAAATAGAAATAAATAACTCCAAAAAATCTTTTTAGAAAGACGTATAGCCTGATTTGTCTCCCACCACACTATCAAGTGTAGGCTGGACACAGTAACTCACATCTAACCAATACAATAAGACAAAAGTGACAGTGTTTTACTTCAGGAACCAGCAGGTTTAGAAGCCAAACTGAGATCAGCATCTAATTTCCTCATCTGTTGGAGGATCAGAAGCAACAAGAGCAAAAAGAGCCTCAAAAGGCAATGAATAACTTTCAATTTGTGCTACTGTGTGTGTGTGTGTGTGTGTGTGTGTGTGTGTGTATGTGTGTGTGCCATAAGCCAGAAGCAGCATGCGTCCGACCTGCCCCTCAGCTCAGGGAAGGGGGCCAGGGAAGGGGTCCCACCAACATTTCCCATGGGACCAGAGGATTCAACAACCACCTCAGGAAAGAGAGGGCCCTGCTATGACTTGACTGTCCCCATCCAAACTCATGATGGGATTTAGTCCCCACTATAAGATTAAGAAGAGGGACCAGCAAGAACATTCCAGGGTAACTGGGTCTGGGCAGCTCATCTGTGGGTTATAGAGGAAATGGCTTTGTTAGAAAGGCAAGCTCATCCTGGCTAGTTTGGTCTGTCTCCCCATATGTTCTTCACCATCCCATGACCCAGCAAGAAGGCCCAGGATCAGATGTGGACCTTCAACATCATACCTCCAAGCCTCCAGAACCACCAGCTAAACAAACCTTTTTCTTTCTAAACTGTCCAGTCTGTGACATTAAACTAGAGCTTTGTTATCTTAGTGCATTCAACATTATGATTTTTTAAAATATTTTATTATTTTTATTTTATGTGTATGCGTGTATTGCCTGCATGTAGGTAAGTGGACCCATGTTGTGCAATGCCCACAGAGGACAGAAGAGGCCGTCGGATCCCCTGGAACTGGAGTTACGGACAGTTGTTAGCTGCCATGGTTCAGTGGTTAAGAACACTGGCTGTTCTTACAGAAGACCCGGGTTCAAATCCCAGCACCCACATGGCAGGTAACAACTGTCCATAACTCCAGTTCCAGAGGATCCAACAGCCTCTTCTGTCCTCCGCAGGCATTGCACGACATGGGTGCACTTACCTACATGCAGGCATAACACTCATACACATAAAATAAAATAATAAATAAAGTATTAGAAAAAAAATAACAGGGCTGAAGAGATGGTTCAGCGGTTAAGAACACTGTTGTTGCAGAAGACCCGGGTTCAAATCCCAGCACCCACATGGCAGCTAACAACTGTCCGTAATTCTAGTTCCAGGGGCTCTGACAGCCTCTTCTGTCCTCCAAGGGCATTGCACGACAAGGGTGCACTTACCTACATGCAGGCAATACACACATACACATAAAATAAAAATAATAAATATTATTTTTAAAAATTAAAAAATAAAACTACCCGATGTGGTGGTGTACACTTATATCCCACGGACTCAGGAAGTAGAGGAAGGTAGAGAAAAAGTTCAAGGCCAGCCTGAATGAGCTACACGAGACTGTCTCCAAAAAGAAATTGTTTAGAAAGGGAAATCACTCCTAAAATTGTTTGACATCTTTTACGAATGTAATAAAGCTCAATGTGGTGGTACACAAATGTAATCCCAGTACTAGGGAGGCAAAGGCAAGAGGATCACTGTGATTTTGAGGCCTTGTCTATACAGTAAGACTCTGGGGGAAAAAAAAAAAAAGAATGTAAGAAAGCTGAGTTCTTAAAGACTGCTTTTACTAAAAAGCACTGACTCCTCACTTGAGCCCACAAGATAACTAAAAGCAAGATAAAAGCCTAGCATCTCTGTCTTCATTTTCATCTGTCTCCTTTCCTTTGGATCAGTCGCCTGCTAAACTCTCCACACAGGCATGTTAATATCTCCTCCCCCTTCAAGGAACAAAGATAAAGGTAACTGAGATATTTGGGTCAGGTTTAGTGATATAAGCCTATACCCAACACTCAGGAGGCTGAGGCAGAAAGATCACAAGTTTGAGCAAGACTGAACTGCATAACAAGCCATTTCCTCAAAACAAAACAAAAAAACACAAGAGTAACTAAGATATTTTACTGTCATATTTTATAGCTTCCTGCTCTGGACTTCTGAAAAGGATTTGGAAGTTGCTTGTTGTCCTAAGCCTGAAGTCTCCTAGGCTGCAGGAAATCTTGAAGCTTCACAGATCAGTCAGGAAGAGATCACCCCCTGAATGGGAGAGACTGACCACAAGGGAAACTGAGGTTGCTCCACTTCAACATAAGTAATCTTCTCCATGGGCATGGTGGTCCACACCTTTAATTCTAGCACTCAGGAGGCAGAGGCCGGTGGATCTCTGTGAGATGGAGGCCAGTCTGGTCTACATAGTGAGTTCTAGGCCAGCTAGGGCTACAGAGAGACCCAGTCTCAAAATGACCAAGCAAAGTAAATAATCCTCTCATAGGAACTGGATTGTCTCCTCATCAGGAAGAATTTCTCTAGAGTCACCTTGCAGAACCAAAGCTCAGATAATGGCTTTAATTCTTCATACCTCCTGTCCTCTTCCTGAATCCTTCCTCTACTTAAACATGTCTCACTCTGAGGATAGCTGAGATGCTTGGTCCCCATCTTCCCAAAATGGCCATTTTGATTAAAATCCTATTGCTTTTTCTCATTTCTTGGCTTTGTGTTCTCTAGAGTAAGTAGCCAGACCTAACTTGTTGGACCCTCAGAGATGAGCTTCTGCCTAGCACTCTAGTGACACTGTCACATGTCTGTAGCACTAAGGAGCCAGAAGCAGGATGATTGCTAGTATGAAGCCAGCCCTGGCTACATACTGAATTCTGGGTAAGCCTGAGCTGCATAGTGAGAACTTATCTCAAAAAAAGAAAAAGAAAAAAGTAATGAAATGAAAATAAACTACTACACACACAGGGGACAATGCTAGACAAACCATCCTTAACTCCAGTTCCAGGGGAATCTGAAGCCCTCTTCTGACCTTCGCAGTATTGCACAACACGGGTGTACTCACATACATGCAGGCAATACACTCTTACACATAAAATAAAAATAATAAATAATTTTTTTTAAAAAAACAGACAAGATAAAGAGCACTTCTAGAGGATTCTGGGAGGCAGCATGGAAATTTGTGTCCCTTCTCCCATACATTGCCCTCCACACACATCTCTTCATCTATATCCTTTGTTGTATCCTTTATTTTATTTATTTTATTTTATTTTATTTTTTTTTTTTAATTTTTTTTTTTTTGGTTTTTTTTGAGACAGGGTCTCCTTTTAGCCCCAGCTGTCCTGGAATTCACTATGTAGACCAGGCTGGCCTCGAACTCACAAAGATCCGCCTGCCTCTGCCTCCCAAGTGCTGGGATTAAAGGCGTGCGCCACCACACCCAGCTGCTGTATCCTTTATTATAAACCAGTAATATATCTCTCTGAATCCTGTGAACCACACAGGCAAATAAACTGAACCTACAGAAGTGCAGAACCTCAGCTTATAGACCATTGGTCAGAAGCACAGGTCAAACAACCTGAGGCTTAAGACTGTCATCCAGAACTGAGTTCTCAACCTGTGGGATCTGAGGCTATCTCCAGATAGAAGGTATCAGAGTTGAACTGAACTGGAGGATGCTCAGCTGGTGTCTGCTGCTGCCCAATTCACTGTTTGCTTGGTATGTGGGGGAAAACTTAATGCAAAGAGTGTCAGAAGTGATCTGTGTTATGATCCTATAGTGGAAAAAAGTTCTTTCCACCATATCCTCAGAACACCCTTCACCACCAACTAATTTTAGAACATTTTCATCACTTCAAAAAGAAAGTGTACACTTTAGCAATCGCTCCCTACAGTCCCTAGCAACCAGTCATCTTTCCATCGCCACAGGTTTGCCAATTCTAGGCACCGTGTATGAATGGAGTCATGTGACATGGCTTTGTGCCTGGCTGTCTCTCACTTTCACACCATGCTGCAGTATTTATTAGTATTGCACTCGTTTTTAACTGTATGGCTGGTTCTCATTCTCCATTCAGGTGTTCCTATTGTGAATGGTGCTGCTATGAACACTTGGGGTCAGTTGTTTGTCTGGATGTATGTTTCCAGTTCCCTTGCTGTGTTTCTAGGATTAGAATTACTGGATCCTATGATGACTCCATGCTTAACATGTGAGAAAGCATGGACTATTTTCCAAAGAGTCTATTCCACTTTAAAATCCCACTAACATATTCTTAAGTTTTGTAAATGCTTGAAAAGAAGTAAAATGGATAGTATTTCATGACAAGCAGGGTTCTGCACTGCACTTAGAAGATCTGATATAACTTTCACTGACAAACACACAATAACAGCTCTAATCCACTCATTTCGCCACCCCCCCCCCACCTTGTGCTGAGGATGAAACCCAGGGCCTCATGCATGCTGGGCAAGTGCCCTACCACTGAACCACACTCCCAGATAATCCTCTGTTTTCTTGGTCATGAAGTACACAGAAAGCACCCACAGAGAGAGCCTTTCCCCTCACTTAGTCCTAGAGGCAGTAAGCCCAGATGGGGACAGAACTCTAAGGGCCCATCAGCTTTCTGAACAGAGAGGTTCCCCTGCAGGTGTGAAGGTGTTTCCATCTTTACAGAATAATGAGCTCCCCAGGATTCCAAGCCTGCTGCTACTGTGTGGGCCTCGGACCCTCAGTCAGAGCTGGTATGTAGGAGGCACTGGTATAAGTCTAAAGAAAGAACAAAGGGAAAACTTACCTGCATCAGTCCTTTGGCCCATGCAGGAATACACAGAGGCTTGTAAATCACCGAGGGCTATGCCCACCTGTGTCCCCTTTGGGACTTCAAACCATGAGTGGGAAGTTCTGCCTACCACACTGCCTGGCTCAGCAATGTCAGGAAGCAGGTAGACAGGAAAGCCGGCCACTCTCAGTCTGCAAAACAAAAGTGGACACCAGTGTTCGCCTGGTGCTTGATCTGGTTTTGTTGGTTGTAGAAAACTTAAGAAGGGAAAGTGCTACAACTCACACATAGGAGCAGGGAGGACAGAATGTAGAATGTGGCATTATCATTAAATATCTCTGGCTTTTTTTAAGTCATGAGTTTGATTTTTGTAGACAGTGAAAAAAACTTGGGATTTGGGGCTGGAGAGATGGCTCAGCAGTTAAGAGCACTGATTGCTCTTGCAGAGGACCTGGGTTCGATTCCCAGCACCCGCATGGCGGCTACGAACCATCC